AAAAAAAAAAAAAAAAATTTTTTTTTTTTAAAGAATGTAAGACCTATAATTCCAGCACTTTAGGAGGCCGAGGGGAGAGAATTGCCTGAGCTCAGGGGTTCGCGAACAGCCTGGGCAACTTGGCAAGACCTCATCTCTACAATAAAAAAAAAAAAATTAGCCGGGCATGGTGGCGCATGCCTGTGGTTCCACCTACTTGGAAGGTTGAGGTGGAAGGATTGCCTGAGCCCAGCAGGTCGAGGCTGCGGTAGCTGTGAGCATGCCACCGCACTCCAGCCTGAGTGACAGAGTAAGACTCTGACTCAAAAAAAAAATTAAAAAAAGAATGTACTAGGTGCCTAGATTTACATGGATGAAAGTTCCAATTTGGTAATGCTACTATGGCTCTGTCCTCTGCCCCCCTTAGATAGACGGTGGAGGACCGGATAGACGGTGGGTGGGCCTAAAAGGGGATACGCCTACTTTATATAGTAGCAGGTAAGCGCTAGACCTTGGAGTATGGTGAAACTTGAGGTATTGGGGATGGGTAAATACATCTGGTATCTTGTCTGGAAAAGCATTTGTAGACACAAATAAACATCCTTTCCTCATAGGCTTTTCCCCCAGCAAATAATTGTTAGCATGCAGTTCATTTTATGTAACCTTGAAATCAACATTAGTTACTGAAAGCCAGATACTACTTCTGTAAGATAGCCAGGATCCTACATATGCTGTTTTCACTTCCTTACCTCTTGCTCACTCTTCAACTCACTAACAATTTTCTTCCATTCCCCTGAAATTTTCCTGGCAAAAACCACTCGTAACTTCCTAGTTGCAGAATCAAGGTGATGTTGTTCCGTCTTTATCTTACTCAGTCTTTCTCTGACACGACTGAACAATACTCTTTTACTTCCTTTGCCATTATGACACCAGTTTTCCTCCTACAACTTTGACTATTTCCAGAAGTCATCTTCAACTCCTCCCTTTCCGTTACTGTCCCCCCACAATCCAGTGAATCACCATATTCTGCTGATTCTATATGCTTCCATATTCTATCCTCTCTTCTTCATCTCCATGGCCACTGTCTTATAGCACTGCTCTCCTGAGAAAGGACCACATGGTTATTCTTGATGAGCCTTCTCCAGTTTTTCATTTTTTTGTTTTTTATCGGACTCTCACTCTGTTGCCCAGGCTGGAGTGCAGTGGCACACTCATGGCCACCGCAGCCTCAATCTGCTGGGCTCAGACGATCCTTCCGCCTCAGCCTTTCAAAACTGGAATTACAGGCATGCACCACCACGCCTGGCTAATGCTTTGATTTATTGCAGAGACGAGGTCTCACTAAATTGCCCAGGCTGGTCTCGAACCCGTGGGCTCAAGCAATCCAATCTCCTCACCTCGGCCTCCCAAAGTGCTGGGAATATAAGTGTGAGTCGCTGCTGCGCCGTGCCTTTCTTCATGTAGTCTATCTGCTATTGGCGTAATCTTTCTGAAACATACTCATCCACACCTACTCTATGTTTGTGTAATTTATTACATTGTATTTTAATCCTCTGTTTGAACTTCACCAGACTGCGAAATCCTTGAGGGCAGGAATTTCAATCCATTAGAACACTGGTTTAGGCAGGATAGTGGGAAAAGGATGGATTTCCTGAGACACTCAACAATGAGGTTTCTTTTCCATTGTTTTTCCAGCTGCTCAAATCTAGCTGGGTCCCCAATCCCAGGACACTTGCAGTAGGAACGGGGAAGCTCTTCCTAAAGTTGCAACAAACCAGGGATCCTCATCTCATCTCACCCAGGTCCCAGCCCTGTCTGGCTTCCCCTTTCACTCCACTCCAGTCTTCCCACTCCAGTCTAGGGAGGCGGATGCCCTGGAGGGCCCTTGGGAGTTCTCTCCACTAATTTTGCGTCTGCAATTAGTACTACGTTACCCCAATAAAGAATGGTGCCCTTCGTTTTAGGACTTCTTTCCTCCAATTCGGACTGGGCAGAGGAGCAGAGTGTGGAAAGTGTGAGAGCCACTTAAGAAGGAAAGGAGCAGAGCCCCAAGACCGGGGAAGAATGGCCGAGGCCGACGCACAACCGACGCCGAGGGCAGCACTCCTAGCCAAGCTTGGGTTTCCCCTTTTCCCCGCCTCCTTCGCTAAACTCGACCCACTTTAGGGCGGGACCTCTCACTGCAGCCAATTCTGGGAGCTGAACCCTGGCGGTTTGTACTCTTTCTTTCCAATGAGAAAAAAAGGAAGCCGCTTGGCTCCAATGACCAATCCGAGGAGGCGGCGCCTGGTTGTCAGGCAGGTTTGTAAGAGTTCGGGCCAATTGGAGGCGCAGGCACCGCTCGACCCGGGCGCAGCGCGCAGGCGGTGGCGAAGAGACGCCGAGCGGGCCGAGTGCGGCCGAGCAAAGCCGGAGCCGGAGCGGGGCCGCAGGAGCCTGGCCGGGTCCGGACGGGCCGAGATGCCCTATAAACTGAAGAAGGAAAAGGTGAGCGTGGCCCTTTTCCCCACTCCTCCGCCTTGGGGCCTGCGCGGAGCTCTGGGAGGGGCCCGAGCCAGGCCCGGGACAGCCCCAGACTGACCCTCCTGTCCGGCCCCCGCAGGACTCCT